AGGACTCAGCAAGGGCAGCAGGGAATGAGGCCACAGCGTCCAGCAAGGGCGTCCGAGGCCTGGTCTGTCGGGGTTGGCCGGTTCCCATCCTGTCCCCTCCCGTGTGGCCCGTATGGACACCCCTCCTGCTCCCCACTTAAAACAAGAGGAATTGATGCCCAAACCAGTTTGGCTCAGTGGATAGAGCGTCAGCCTGTGGACTGAAAGGTCCCAGGTTCGATTCCGGTCAAGGTCACTGGGGACACTCCCCAGTGGGGAGTGTGCAGGAGGCAGCTGGTCGATGTTTCTCTCTCGTCAATGTTTCTAGTACTCTCTCTCCCTTCCTCTCTGTAAAAAAATCAATAAAATATATATATTTTTAAAAAGACAGTCATTTAAAAAAAAAAGAGAGAGAAATTGACGATTCAGATTATGAATCAAGAACAATGACAAGTTATTAACAATGAAAAGGAGGACTGAGCTCAGGAGCCCCCGACCCATCCTGCCTCAGAGCAGAGCAGGCCAAGGGGAAGGGCGGGTGTCCGAGACCCTGGGCCCCAGCCCTCAGAGGTGTGGGCCACAGCCAGCGTGTGCTCTGCATGACAGTGGCTCCCAGCGGGGACAGCCGATCCTCCAGGCAGCACAATATAAAAAGGATCTGGACCTTAAGACTATAATTAAGTCACTTAGGAGAATAACAATAACAATAGGCTCCTGTTCTGGTTTGCTATGGAGGATGCTTCACAGGCCCAGGAGGTGGGGAACCTGAGGAGCGTGAGGCACAAGGAAGTCACCGGGTCTGTCCAAGGTCACACAGCCAGGAGGCAGTGGGCCGGGCCCGAGCACGCCCTCACCAAGGAGAGCGGATGTGAGAAAACCAGAGCAAAGTGGTGGGTGCCTTAGGTGCTGCTGCTGCCACCATGCCACCCCTAGTGGCATAGCCCGAACCCCCACCACCTTCACCCACCGTCTAGTGTCAGCTCAAAGGGCAATGCCCACGCCTCAGAGATGGGGCCTGTGACCCAGCCTCTCTGACCTCACCTCCCCCTGGTTCCCTCCCAGGACTCCAGCCACCCTGGCCTCCTCTCAGCTCAGCACCTCCGCATTGGCTGTTCCCTATGCTTTTCCCTGCACGGCCTCCTCCTTCAGCACCTTCAAGTCTTTGCTCAAAAGTCCCCTTCCCAGTGAGGCGCAGGTGGGCATCTGGTGCCTCCCCTTCCTGCTTCTGTTTTCTCAGGCACCTGGCACCGTCCACCGTGCATGTCACCCCCTCCTTACAACCAAGGCCTGGGGTGGATGGGACTTCATTTTCCTCAGTGGGGGATCCCCAGCTCTGGCAATAGACAGATACGTGTTAAGGGAAGGGGTGACTTTTCAGTCCCACTTTGGACCTGTCTGTGCTGGAGATCGGTTTTCATGCCAAAGCTGGATGAGGCCTCCTGTGCCTCTGGTCAAGAGGAAGCTGGACAGGGACCTTTGGGGGCCACAGGATGCAGCAGGAGGGGAGGCAGAGCTGGAGGTCTTCAGGGCTTCACTCCCCCCACCCTCCCACCTCCCACCCCCCACCCGCCCCGTGAATATGACTGGCTGCCCACACCAGATCAAGGTGTTGGTAGGCTGGGTGCTTCTGAGGCAGGAACCTCTGGCCCAGGCCTCTTCTGGCTGCCCGTGGTGACCTTCAGTGATCCTTGGCTTGTAGACGCACCATGCCATCCTCCTTCCCAGGGCTCCTGTTTCCAGAACCTTCCTTTAGGAGCATAGCCGCATAGAGCCCACCCTGGTAACTTCCTTCCCCCTTGGTTACCTCTATAAAGTCCCTGTATTTTAGGTGCTGGGGTTTGGAACACCAACACCTTTTTTGGTGTTGGTATTCCAAGACTGAGCCCATAGCACTGCCCATGTGTTTGCCATCCCTAGATGGTGGTATCAGAGAAGGGAAGGGCAAGGTGAGGTCTTGGAGAGAAACATAGGTGCAACATAGGACCCTGCATGGCTTCTCGGGGTCTTTTTGGCAAGTGATTGGCCTGATCTTGTGGAGGGGGAGACCCAGACTCCAGGCCCATTAGGTCATCGCTTTCACCGCAACCCACACTCACAAACACACACCACATCGCATCGATAGACAGTCTCAGAGCGCGGGAACTGTCCACTGGGCCAGCGGCCACCCACCTTTCGGACCTCATGGACCACCCGTGGACCACGGACCACCTCTTCCTCACTGGCTTCTCTCCTGCAGGATTTTACTGTTTCCCTTTGACGGGAGGCTAGTTGGTGTTCATAACGATTTCTAGATTCACTGGCAGGGAATACCCACAAGTTTCAAATCCGTCTTCTGATGGCCAGCCATGGGGGGGGATTCACCCCCACTCCCAGGCAAGTGCCAAGGCCAGGGTTGTTGAGCTCGTGTGGGAAAGGCGTGAATTAGCCCATCATGAGAATAAACTGCAACAACATTCAGACTCATTGGGAAACTTGGTGACACTAACACCACCTCCCCCCACCCCCCCAGGCTCCCGTCTTTAAGGCCACATTTGTGTGGACACAGCTGGCTAAAATTCATCTCCCCCGACCCCAGCCCCAGCCCCAGCCCCACCCCCAGCCACGTGGGGCTCAAGGCCTCAAATAGACATTGGGAGACAGGGGGAGGGAGCCACGTCTTGGCATTTCAAGGCAGGTTTTAATGGTTTTCAATACCTTCCCCAATTATTTACACATCCAGCCCGGTGGGGCTCTCTTTCACATGACAAAGGTTCTCCGTTTATTCGGCATCTCGGTGTGCACAGCACATACATGACAAGACGGTCGGCACCTGTATAAAACTACAGTCTGGAAACAGCGGTTCCTGCAGGACCCTCAGCCCCCATCACACAACAGAAACGCTTGACCCACGTGCCCATCCCATCCCTACACGCTCCACGCGTGATTCGATGAACGTATACCAGAAGTCAAGGGTGACCGGTTCCGCACTTCAGCCATCTTCACGCCCAACACCGGATCAGGCTCCGAGACAAGACGTCCTGCAATAATTTAAGGCACCTACGGCCCACGTGGCTTGTTGCTAGGCGACCACATTAAATACAGAATGACCACAAATTCCACGCCGCCCCGTCCCGCAGTCCACAGGCGATCTGGGAGCATCACCTCTCCTCTGACACTCCCGGAGTCCAGGGCGTGGTTTAAAAATTTAAAAAACAAAAAACAAAAACAAAAAACGAAACGTGTTTATTCCAGTGCATGAATAGCAGGTTTAGGATGTGTGGTCCTGGTTTACCAATGGCTTCTTTCTTCCGGGGACTCCTTGGGTGTAAGAATAGTATTTTAAAGAGATGATTTGCATTCGAACAAAGAGTTTTAGGGAGGAATGTGAAAGACAAAAAAACCAATACGAGGGCCCAGCCCCGCCGCCTGTAGACTCCCATAAAGTTAATTTGGGAGGCAGTGCAGGCGAGAGAGAGTATTCGAGTCTGGGAGACAGCCCGGGCGTCTCTGGTAGCAGGCGAGGGGCGTTTTGCATAAACCCTAAAAAAGTCATTCATTAAAATTAAATGTTTGCCATCACCTCGGGGACTTTTTTTTTTAACCATCCCCGACCCTGCCTCCTCCTCCGTTCTTTGCTACCACGACAGCGGTGACATTTGTAAAATATATAAAGAAAAATATAAGGTTACTTGGTGACCATATAGTGCACGGTAACAGCTGTCTGCAAATATTTTCACCATGATTATCCTTACTAAAAGTAAATCACGGGGTAAAGATAGCTCAAACGTGACAAGTTCGAATGGGTCGCACCGCCGCTCTCCGCAGTCCTTTTTGGCTGCATATGGAAGGGGACAGAAGCCACTCGGGGCGGCGTGCGCTCCCCGCAGGTTCCCGCCAGGTGAGCGGTGTGAAGGCTGTCGAGGTAGATGGTAAAGCCACTCACCCGGGGAATGCAGCTTGAGAGAAGCAGCGCCTCCTGCATGCAGGCCCTGCATTCAGTGTTTCCTACAATTGCAGGGGATTCCACCGAAACCTAATAGCCAGCCAGCACTAGCCCGAAGCTTCCCGAGCACTGGGGAGCGTGCTTTTAAAACACGCACCCAGGCAACTCCCCACCAGAAGTCTCTGCTGTCAGAAGCTGTATTTCATCACCCAGGTCTTGTCCACTTCCAGCCTCGCAGTGGGAGAGCCATGATGCCTTTTGGAAATCCAGCTGATTTACAAAATAGCTGGGGGTTGGTTTTTTTTTTTTCTTTCTTTCTTTCGCTTCCCCCCCCTCCCCCGCAGTGGCCACAGAGCCGTGGCCGCCGTGGCTGTGGCTGATCCAAAAAAGGAAAACTGGAGTTCAGAGCGTGGTCTAAAGGTCTCTCCCATCTGGTAGATGGAGGAAGATTGACTACAGCAAAGTTCAAAGGTCAGTCTCAGCAGATCTAAAAAGGGAGCGGCAGCGGTGGGCTCCACAGTGTACTCTCTGTCCCCGAAGTAAACCGATCCGCCCCAATTAATAGCAACAGGGCACAAGGGGAGCGGGGCGCGGAGGGTGCTGGGGGAGGAAGCCCGCCGGGAGCCGCCGGCGCTGGTCTCCGGAGCCCGGAGCCCCCGGAGGGCCTCGCTGGACGGACGCAGGGCCGCCGGAGGGTGTAAAGCAAGCGGATGTCCCGGTCCGACATCACTGGCTTTCACGACACAGGATAGCAGCACACGTGTGACCAAGTTTCTGAAGTTAAATACGTCCGATGGAGGGGTCTCTCCACCGTTTTACCAGAAAAGTCAGGGTCTTTTTTTTTTTTCTTCTTCTCTCTTTTTGTCCTTTGTCCTTTGTTTCCCTCCCCACCCCCCCTCCCTCAGGAAAAATACAAAACACACCCACAGAACCATAAATAATCTGGTGGCCGTATATACATATTTAAATAATTAATTTAAATATCGTACACCTACTCTCGCATTCCACGTGTCCATCGGAAAGTGCACCGAGGTGGCGGCCCCCCCGGGCGCTCCCCTCGCCGGGGGCTCCCCAAGGCGGAGGCAGGGCTCCTTCGGAGTCACAGCCTGGGGAGGAAGTGGGTGACCTTCATGGTGGGGGACACCCGGTTCCCCTTCTTGGTCTTCCCGTTCTTGCTCAGGGCGATGAACATGCCGGGGTACCGGTAGCACTCGTAGGCGTTGTAATTGTTGGGGAGGAGTATCTCCTTGAACTTGCACTCCTCCGTGAAGAAAGGCTGGAAGGAAGGAGGAACCGTGTGAGGTCGGAGGGACCCTGGGGCCAGGGGTCAGGGGTCAGGGGCTCCTCTCAGTGGCATGTCCCACTAGGGTGACAGGTCTCTCTCTCCTGGGAAGTCAGGGGCCAACACCCACCCGGGTGAGAAGAGGGACACAGCCAGTCACAGCAGCTGGTGTCCCGGCCACCTGCCCAGCACCTGGCAGCCTGAGGGTTCATCTCTGCTGCGTTCACCTTCAAGGCTCCAGTCCGGCCCTTGGGACCCAGCCCATGGGCTCAGAGAGGGACCCTTTGGTAGACTGGGAGGCGCCCGCTCAGGGATGGCACAAACCTCAGCATTACTGTCTTGAGGCTGCGCTCCTTGGCGGGCGGGCCCTGGTGGTTGGCGGGCGCAGTCCCAGGGCTCTGGGGGGTGGGGGGTGAGGGGCCACCTGGGACCCCACCACGCATTTCTGTCGGCGGCCTGGAGGGTCAGGATCCTGCCTGGGCTCCCCAGCCGGTGCTCAGCGGGGCCCCGCGATACTCACCGAGCCGTACAGCTTGCCCTTGTTGCTCATGGCCACGAAGAAGCGGCTGGCCACGCCGAAGATGCTCACCACGCCCCGCTCCACCGGCGAGAGCTCCAGCAGGCCTGCGGGGAGGGCACGGGTCATTGCGGGGGGGAAAGGGGACCCTGTGCCTGCACCGCTCTGAGACCATTTCTGGGGATGGGTGTCCAGGGCCCGGGCTCCCCAAAGGGCCCCAGAGCCCGGCGTGCGCGGATTTGGACTCGCTTCCCTCCGCCCTGTGCCCCGCGGCGGCCGCGCCCCGTCCCGAGTGCGGATCCCCGGCGGCGGCGCCGCGCGCCCCGTGCCCACCCACGTGCCCACGGGCGAAGGCGCTGGAATGCCGCGCCGGGAGCCCAGGCGGCCGAGGGCGGGGAGGCGGGGCCCGGCTGCCGGGTGCGCAAAGGTCCCAGGAGCCAAGATGGTTTGCGCCCCCTCCACCCCACGCTGCAGGACCCAGAACCTCAGTCTCCCCCATCCCCTCCTCCCCCTTCTCTCCCCCGGGTGCCCAGAGCCCCAGGCAGGTGTCCGCCGGGGGCCCCGCGCGGCTGGACGCGTGGGAAGCGGTGGCCGCTGCTCCCGCCCTCCCCGTCCGGCCGCCCCACTCACTGTCGCCCGTGTCGGCGTGCACGCCGCCGATGCGGCCGTCGCGGAGCACCTGGAGGTGGAAGCCGATGCCCACGTTGCAGTAGAGCCTCCGCAGCCGCTTGATGCCCAGCAGGTAGTCGCCGGCGCCGCTCTGGACGGCGGCCTCCTTGGGCTGCGAGGCCGCGGGCAGGCGCGCCAGCGAGCGCGCCACCAGGCTCTCCCAGCGGCGCCCCAGCTCGGCCTCCAGGGTGCCGTTGGGTGCGCCGGGCGCGGCGGCGGCGCCCCCTCGGCCGGCCCAGGGCGCCAGCGCGGCCAGCAGGACCGCCGGGAGCAGCGCCGCCGTGGCCGCCCGGGGCCCCGGCATCCCCGCCCTCGGGCCGCGCGTCCGTCCGGCGGTCCGTGCGCGCGGGCCGCGGGGGACCGAACCGCGCCGGTGGCGGCGGCGGCGGCGGCGGCCGGCGGGAGCTCCGGACCGCAGGCCCGGGAAGGGCGGGCGCGGCCGGAGGAGGAGCGGGAGGGAGGCGCGCGGCGAGGCCCCCGGGCGCGGGCGCGCTATCCGGGCTGCATGGAGGGGAGGGCAGCGCGGAGGGGCCGGGGCCGTGCAGAGCGGTGCGCGCCGGGCTGCGCGCTGGGCCGGCCCCGGGCTGAGCCGCTATATATAGCCCGGCGCCCCCTCCTGCTCCCGCGGGGGGCCGTCCGCGTCCGCCCGGGCGCCCGGGGCGCTGTGGTGCTCCCGGCTGGTCGCAGGCCGCCTGCCAATCAGGAGTGGGGGGAGGGGAGGCGCTCAGCGACGAGCGGCGGCTGCGAGTGCCACCTGGAGGGTCCCCCACCCCCGGAGGGTCCCCCACCCCTGGCCTCGCCCGGCCCACACGAGCCTGTGTGTCCCGCCCCTCCAGGCTCCTCCACTCCGGCCGCCAGTCCCTTTGGCCTCGTTCCCTGCCCCTGCCTGGGCTCCCCTCTCTGTATGTCCCCTCTTCTCACTGCCGGAGCAGCCCCGGGGCCGCCCTATGTCGGCGCCCCCAGCTCCCAGCAAGCAGCCACTCCCTGCGCCCTGCCTCTCGGGGGCTCCCGGGAGCCTGATTCCTTTAGGACCCTGCAGACCACCTGAGGACGGCGGCCGGGACGGGCAGTCAGTGACAGGAGGGCAGGCGTGGGAGGGGAGAGCTGGGGGCTGGGACTGGAGGGAGGCAAGGCCCTGGCTTTGGCCCCTGCGCTGGGCCCCTGTGCTGAAGGTGATTCAGGAATAGGTTTTTGTCAACCAGGTAGAGGCATCGCCTGAACTGGGGCGGGGGTGGGGGTGGGGAGGGAGTCCTTGTGCGGGTATTGCTAGGGGTATACCCACCCACATCCCTGCACCCCTACACACACTCAGCTCTCTGCAGGCACAGGTGCCAGGCACAAGGCCTCGGGGGACAGTCACTGCCCTCCTAGCCTTCGATTCCACCGCAGGAAGAATCAAGTGCCCAGAGAGACCCAGGCCTGGGCCCGGATGGCTCCCCTCCCCCACCTGCTGTCCCCGCTCCCACTGTGCCCATAATGGCCTGATGGCGGCAAGACTGGCCAGAGGCCCAGCGAGCTGCTGGCTCACCTAGGTGTGAAAATCCCTGTTCTCTGGTCCCTGAGGAGCCTTGCTGGCCCTCCCAGCCACAGCGTCAGGGGGTCAGGGGGCCTGGTGCACACATCACGTCCTGCTGCCATCAGTGCCTGTGACTGGAGACGTCCCAAGCCCTTTCAGCCTCCTCACCTCTGCCCATTCCTGCCCTTGAACTTTACCTCTGAATCCTGGAGGGGTCCAGGGAGGTGTGAGATCTCTGTCCTAAGGCCCAGAGAGAGGGGAACTTGGGGGTCAGTGGCCTTGGCAGGACCACGTGGTCTCTGGACTACTCCACGGGGCTCTGCTCACCCTGGGTCTGCAGCCACTGGAGCAAGGCCCTGCCCAGGCCAGGGCTTTCCTGGGCTGTCATTCACGGCTGCTGCTGGGACTCTGGGCACCCCAGATGGGCCTGTGTGACTGGGGACCAGGAAGACAATTCTGGCCAAAGTCAAACAGCAGACCTAGACTCTGCCCCAGCCCTGCCGTCTCTCTGTGGAGCCCTAGCAAATCCTCTCCATCTCTGGGCCCCTGACTCCCCGCTTGCTAAACAGCATGAAAGGTGGGTTCCCTCACTTCCCTCTGGGTCCAGGCGGGCCCCTCTGATGTCTTCTCCAGCTCCTGGCAGAACCCCACAGGGACCTCCCTCCCTGTTTCTCCTATTTGGTGTTAAGTTCATTGAAGGACCCTGGCGCTGGCTTCTCTCCCAGAACTCCCCCCCCCCCTCACACACACACACACACACACACACACACACACACAGTAGATGCTCTCGGTGCCTGTCCTCGAAAGAGCTGGCAGCCAGCAGGGATGTTAGGAGCTGGGGATGATGGGTGCCCCGGCCTGAGCCTGTCCTGACCTCTGTAGGCCGCATCTCCTCAACTGTCCAGTGGAGCCCACGAAAGCACAGTGAGAGTCAAGGCAGCCATGGACGGTGAGGGATGCCAGGGGGAGCACCTGGAGCTGCTGAACGCCCCCTCCCCTTCCCCCAACCTCGCCATTGTGTACCAGCCACACACCTTTCCTCCCTCCGACCTTCTCACTGGAAAATGCTCCCGTAGAGTTCTCCCCAGGCAGATAACAGACCTGACCTCCTGTGTCCTCCCACCCCCCACACACCAAGGCAGGTGTCTCCCCTCCCCCCCCCCCACCCCCGTCCCTCTGGTCATAGCTTCCTCACAGACCTCAAGGACCCATCTTCATGCATTTGCTGCCCCCCAGCCATTAGACGGTCACCTCCATGGAGCCCATTCAGTTCTCTCGCTCCCAGCTGTGTCCCCTGGGCCTTCAGCAGTAGTGCCTGGCACACAGAAGGTGCTGGGTGGGTGTTGGAGAGTGAATACTGCCTGGCAGGGGGCAGCTCGGAGCTCCTCACCGGCAGACCCTCCAGTTCAGGGAGCAGTGCCAAGCCCTCACTGTGCCTGGGCAGGGGTCAGGCGCCCGCAGAGGCTGCAGGATGCAGCGGCCAGCTCCCTACCAACTCGTTCGTTGGGCTAAGGTGACTCGTTTTTCCAGATCCAGCTCCCCTGACTTCTCACCGGCCCTGCTGCGCCCTGGGGAGCTTGGTTTACCAAGAACTGGGGTGCAAGAAGCCTGTGGGTCTAGTCTCCAAGCCTCAGGCTCTGCCCTTGCCAGCTGCAGGACTGATCACACTGAGTTTCTCCATCTATAAGATGGGCAGAACAGCAACTACTTTTCGGGATTGATGGAGAGACCCGAACACCACTGCTGGTCGTAGGAAAGGCTGACCGGGGTCAATCCCTCAGAGGGCTAGCCTCTTTTGGGGGCATTCCTGACCAGCCGGTGAACAGCCAATGTGGGGCATTTGTGAAATGAGCAAGCCCAGGTTTCTGTCGGGAAGCTTCTGAGACAGAACAAAGGCCCAGACGGAAGCTGACCAGTGGGGGCCGACACACTCTGAACTGTGACCTTTCTTAACCTGCAAAGAAAATCTACCCACCGGTAGATTTTCTTTGCAGATGAAGGAGTGACGGGGCTTCTCAGCACCAGCAGCCCGGCTGCTAAGAACTGACTGGGCCCGAGGGTAACAGCACTAGGCAGAGTGCTGCAGCCTAGGAATTCCATTGTAACCCTCGGGCGGGCGGGCGGGCGGCGTGACCCATAGAGCCTGGGGCCGGTTCCCGCGCGGGGACTTTGCAAAGGCCTGAACTGTCTTCTGGGCTTCACTTCCTTTTCTTGGCGGAGGCCAGCAGATCCTCACAATAGCGTCTTCCTGCAAAGTCCGGGGCGGGGAGACCATGGGTGTAGAGCGGGGTGGGAACCTTTGTCTGCCCGGGGCCATTTGGATATTTATAACATCATTCAAGGGCCATACAAAATCATCAGCTTAAAAATTCGCCCGCTATATTTGGTCATTTAATTACCTCACCCCTAATGCCCCGACGGGCCAGGCCGCTCGCGGGCCTTATACGGCCTGAGGGCGGGGTGTCCCCCACCCCTGGTCTAGACCATCTCCACCGCCCCAAAGCACCCTAATAAATCTTTTTATTTCCCCTTTATATACTTTTTCCTTTAGAACACCCAAAGAAAGAGGCGATGGAGCCACTTTTCTGCAGCTTTTTAATTTATTTTTATTTATTTATTTTTTTTATTGTGGTAAACGTCACATCCCATGGTTGAATCACGTAGCTACCTCTAAGGGTGCAGCTCAGCGGCATAAAGCGCATTCGCATTGCTGGGCAGCTGTCCCTGCCATCCCCTCTAGAACTTTCCATCTTCCCACACTGAAGCTCTATCCCCATTAGACACGAATCCCGGCCCCGGCCCCAGCTCCTGGCACCTACCATCCTACTTCCCGTCTCTATGGAACTGACTCCTCTAGGGGCTCCGGAGTGGGACCCCACAGGATCTGTCCTGCTGTTACTCACTCGGCACCATGTCCGCAAGGCCCCTCCCTGCGGCAGGGGTCAGGACCCCCTCCTCTTGGAGGCTGAGTGGGACCCCACAGGATGTGCGGGGCAGGGTAACCGTGAGGTTACAGTTGTGAGCACTTAAAGCACAGAGTTTACTCTTGTGGTATCACTTTTTAAAAAAATATATATTTTATTGATTTTTTACAGAGAGGAAGGGAGAGAGATAGAGAGCTAGAAACATCGATGAGAGAGAAACATCGACCAGCTGCCTCCTGCACACTCCACAACGGGGATGTGCCCGCAACCAACATACATGCCCCTGACCGGAATCGAACCTGGGACCCCTCAGTCCGCAGACCGACGCTCTACCGCTGAGCCAAACCGGTTTCGGCATCTTGTGGTATCACTTTTTGATTATTGTGATATTTTCCACACGGACGGCTGGAAACCTACTGGTGCCCCACCCTGTATATCCCACACGCGGCTCCTCCATTCGTCACGGATGGACACGGGGTTGCTCCCGCCTCTTAGCTGCTGTGAGAAACACTGCCACGAACGTGGGTGGACATGCGTCTCCTTATGTCCCTGCTCTCAATTCGTTTGGGTCTATACCCAGGAGTGGGATTGCTGGGTCATATGGTAAATTCTGTCTCAATTTTTAAGAGACAAATATTTTCTGCAGATTTTTAAAAAATATATATTTTATTGATTTTTCACAGATAGGAGGAGAGAGGGATAGAGAGTTAGAAACATCGATGAGAGAGAATCATCGATTAGCTGCCTCTTGCACACCCCCTACTGGGGATGTGCCCGCAACCACGGACATGCCCTTGACCAGAATCGAACCCGGGACCCTTCCGTCCGCAAGCCGATGCTCTACCGCTGAGCCAAACTGGTCCT